GATTATGTTGAGATATAGGTTATAAGTTTAACCAGAAGTAAGAAAGGTATGTCAGGTAATATGAGAAATTGTTTAGTTATGCAAAGTGTATGTTTAATCAGTTATGATGAAGATTTAAGGTTATGTTTCTTGGTCAAGTGGATGTAGTCAGAGAAATGAATAAAGATTTATATGTATTAAGAAAGTTTTGGAGTCAGTCAAGTAAGGATGAAATAAAAGTTTGGTGATTCTTGAAAGACAATTGAAGATTGGCAAGGAATTTGATTGATTTATGAGTTGTATTAAGAATTAATGTTATTGTCTATCTGATAAGTGACATGATAGGAGATATAAAGTAAAAAGATAGTCGAATAATTGAAAAGATAAGAACCAAGTTATTAAAGATGATACAAAAGATTAAGTTCAGAAAGCAGCATGAGAACGTTAGAAGATATGTCCTTTTCAGGATGTGCAGTGAAAATTCGAGGACGAATTTTTTTAAAAGGAGGGGAGATTTGTAACATCCCAAATTATGGATTAGTGACCAAATTGTAAAGTTTCAGAATTTGATGACTAAAGTAGAAGAATAAAATAGTTCAATGATTATTGGATATATGATGAAGGTTATTAGTAATTATTAAAGGAAATAAAGGGTAAAATGGTCATTTGATCATTTAAGGAAAAAAAAGGAATTATATACACGTGGAAAGGGAGATAATTCTCCAGAATTCTCTTCTCCTTTCTTCTTCTTCTTCTTCACGTGGAAGCCAAGAGCAAAGGTAAGTTTGATTTAGCTTTTGATTTCTTGAAAGTTTTAAGTTGGATTTGAGTCTTTGAGGGTTATATAAGCTTCAGGAAAGCTTATATAAGTTTAAAACACCAAAGAGATAGAATTAGAAAGGAATTTCTATTAAGGGTTTATAAATGAACTTTTGTTATAGAAAGGTTTTTGAAGTTCTAAAGTTGGATTTGACTTGCCATCAGCTTAATTAAGAAGTATTAAGTGTTAGAATTGGATTTGAAACATGTGGAAAATAGGGTATGATTCTTGAAATTCCTAAAGATGAGAGGATATTAAGGTTAAAGATGAGATAAATGAATATTAATGAGTTTAATTATGTATATAAAAGTTAGGAATATGAAAGGGGTGGAAATATGAAGGATTTAATCCAAAAAGAAGGATTTTTTGGGTTCAAAAAGAGGTTCTGGGTAGAGTGCATCGATGCATATTCATAGTGCACCGATGCATCAATGTTAAAACCCAGAAATTGTTTGAAGGTGCATCGATGCATTGGTAGTGCATCGATGCACTCTTTTAAAATAAATACATCGAATGCAATTTGTGCATCGATGCATAAGTAGTGCATCGATGCATCCCATTAATAAGGAAACATCGAATGCAATTAGTGCATCGATGCATAAGGCATGCATCGATGCATCCCAGTAATACAACATCGAATACATTTTATGCACCGATGCATCAGTAGTGCATCGATGCATACCTTCATTAAAAGATGAAATTGACTTTTCTCTTGGTCTAAAGAGTGAACCAGAGTATATTAGTTATAATACTAATATAGATCTATGTATGATGATGTAGATGTAGAACGTGATCCCATTCCGGATCAATTGAAGGATTATAATCGAATCAAAGCAAAGCTAAAGTGAGTGCACATTCTCTAGTATATGAGGTTCAAGGGAAAATAAGACTTGTGATAAGTCTATTTCTAATAGTGAAAAACATGAATTCATAGAAGTATGTATTTGTTATGATTATGTGTGCATGTGTATATGTTATGATATGAATATGGTAAGTAAAGGGGATTAATGGTGATGATAAGAATAATAATAAGGATAATGAAGTGATAGGTATATGTGAATATAGGTATTGATATGTTTTGTATGTATTGTAAGATGATATGTCTATGTGGTAACATGATAAGATGACAATGAGTTACATGTCATATGAACACATGAGAAATGTTATGAGCCATATGAAAGAGAAAGTATATGTGATACATGAGGGTGAATCCTATGTGACATATGAATATGAATTCATATGAAAGTGACATGAATTACATGAAAGAAACTACGTGATTACATGTATATTTGAATGAAACCATGAGCTTATATGAATATATGATATGGTTACATGAATATGTAAAAGGATATAAAAGATAATGCCCATGTTATGTGTCATGAGAGCTAGGGGTATAGTTGGCATGCCAAGAGTCGAGGGTCTATGTGGTCCTTCGGGATATATATGTATTCTTTGGAACATGTGTGAAGTCTGGTGAGACACATACTTGATCCCTAGTATATGTATATGATTCTTAAGGAGTGATATGTGGTCCTTCGGGATATATATGTATTCTTTGGAACATGTGTGAAGTCTGGTGAGACACATACTTGATCCCTAGTATATGTATATGATTCTTAAGGAGTGATATGTGGTCCTTCGGGACATTATTATATGGCACTATGGTGCAATTCTACGCGGCACTCCGGTGCAATTCTACGTGGCACTCCGGTGCAATTATATGAGCTGTGGTGACAGCATTAGTGCACAACCTCTATGTACTCGCATATATTTAGTTCTCACATGAGTATCATGGGCTATTAATAGATACTATTAATAAAGTGATAGGATAATATGTTTGTTCCCTTGTGGAATTTCATGTGTGATATTGATTGTACAAATGGTAACTTATAAGACTATATGATGAAAGGAATCAATGATAGTGATAAAATAAGAAAGAAATGAAGATGATAATATAATTGATTGAGTGTACGTGTTTATGATAATATATATATGGTTTACATGACATGGTATGTATGTGCAATTGGTTATGGTATATGTTATATGATATGGACATAAGAGATCATAGGAACATGAGATAAGATATATGAATGATAAGGACATATATGTATGCATATTCGTTACATGTAAAAGTATGAGTGGTATGAAATGATAGTAAGAATGTTTAGGTATGATTATTAGTACCGTTTACCTTATAAGTTTTTATGCCTCACTAAGTCTTCGACTTAGCGTGTGATTGTTTCACACGTAGGTTTCGAGAAGAGTAAAGAGTAATGCGGAGCAAGACAGGTCAGTTCTCCTTACCAAATGTCAGATCAGAAAATATGTACTGGTTATAGAGTGTAGTTGGCATGTAGTCTAAAGATATAAATTGTATGAACTCTGATATATTTTGTAAACGTTTTAAATGAGTTAACTGTTATCAAAGTTTTTAAATTACTCACTATTTTATACGAATAAATGTTTGAAAAGTCAATGTGACACTTCGGACTCGTATCCGGGTCTGATACGGGTTGGGGGTGTTACAATAGGTCAGCATCTCCCTTACAAAATTTCAGATCAGAAAATAAATGATTTAAATGTGTTTGGTTAATTTGAATATAGTTGACATGTACTAATTGATTGAGTTGAATATGCTCTAATCGATTTTGATTATTTTAGTCAATTTATGTAAATAAACCGCTTTTATTTTAATGAAAGTTTTAAATTTTCTTTGAATTTTGTCAAGAGTCAAAGTTTGAAAAATCAATGTGACACCTCAGACTCGTATTCGGGTCGGATACAGGTTAGTGGTGTTACAAATCACAAACGGGCAGAGGGGGCAAAAGAAAAGGCGAAAAATAAGGTTAAAACAATACGAATACCACGTAATCGGCTAATGCCCAACTTTGTTCCTTTTTCTCTCTCTCATCTTAGAGAGTTTGGAGTTTCCAACCGTCTCTATCACTTACCTAAATCCACGGTTACCTCTCCAAAAACAAGAGGAATGTTAATGCAACGTTGTAGAAGTTTAACAACCATGTACCCTTTTAACATAGGTGATATATATCCAATAATTATTATATCTATTATTGTTGTCAGATGGAATAATAAAAAATTCAACATATTTTTTATATAATCTAAGGTAGGTATATGATAATATATGTTCAAAATCTTTTTAATAATTTAAAATGTGTACACACTCTACATATGCAATTACTTGAACTCGAATTCCTCTAAAAATAACATCATTATGTTTTAATGTTGAGGCTACTCAATAAATTTTAAATATTTATATTATATAAATCAAAATGATCTCCATAAAGCTCATTAGCCATATGCACAAATAAATTTATGAGCCACCTGCATTCCAAGCAATACAAGTTCCAAGTTTAAACATTGTGAAATATCAACAACAAAAAAGTATTCAGAAATCTCCACATGGCTCTATTAAATCATACCATTTCCATGCAAATCAAAATTAAGATATCAATTCACCATCGAATTATATTTGTGATATTCTTACTATATATGAACGAATGGTGATGCAAGAGAGTGATTCTTCCATTCCTTAATTATAACCTCATATGACATAAAAATTAAACCCTTGTATGGACTATGGATAAGCTGAACTTAAATATGACATAAATGAAGATTACAATTATCAAAAATAAAATAAAATAGAGCCAATGGATGTTTAGGTCCACTGACACTACATTAAATCCCGTATGGATTATGGATAAGCTAGACTTAAATATTTCATTTGAAACTATCTGTGAATGTATTACAATTGGCAAGCAGTTTATCTGTGAAAAAAAACCTTGAAGAAAAACAACTCAGTACTACCTGGAATCTTGAATGCAGTGCCAAAACCGCCCGCTAATAACCGCACCTCTCAATCAAAAAGCATTTCTTTCGATTATTTTCAGTTTTCCTCCCCTTTTTGCAAGCGTTATATTTCAAACTTTACGACCGACTACATACATATACATGTCATGCTAGAGAGTACGGGCCAACCAGGGTTAGATACTTGCCAAATCCATGCTCAGATGCGTTAGCCCCACACCGCATTCAACACCGGCCCTCTCAACTCATTCATCCCCCTTTGTATATAAGTTCTATAAGTTGAAAATCTCCATATAAACGATCCCTTTTGCACCCTGATTTTCTTCCTCCCCCTTCCCCTACTCGTTTCATTCATTGCTTTACACAGCTTACAGCCATGGTTTCTCACCTACTCAACACTATCCGTAATGTAGTTGTGGTCACAGGTATGTTGGTTTACCATACAACGATGTTTCCTTAAAACCCGCCTGAAAAGTAAACTATTGTGGGTTTTGTTCTACTTCTTCACAGGGAACGTTATATCACTCTTCCTCTTCTTGTCTCCTGTGTAAGCTTCGCTTGACTTTTTTTTCCCTGTGTTTAGTTGATTCCATTATCTTTAATCTCTTTTTGATTGCAGGCCAACTTTTTCTCAAATTTGGAAGAAAAATTCAGTGGAGCAGTTCTCGCTAGCCCCGTATCTAGCAACCTTAATAAACTGCATGGTTTGGGTCATTTACGGGCTGCCTATGGTTCACCCCAACAGCACTCTGGTTGTTACCATTAATGGCACAGGAATCGCCATTGAACTCGAGTATCTAACTTTCTTCTTGATCTTTTGCAATGAGAAGAAAAAGAGACTCAGAGTGCTGTTAATCATGCTGGTTTTCATGGCCATTCTTACTGCACTGGTCCTCACCGTAGCTCACACCACAGGACGCCGGTCCATGGTCGTCGGAATTGTAGCAATTTTGTGCAATATCATGATGTATGCTTCGCCTTTATCCGTCATGGTTAGTATCATAAAAAAGAAAAATTATACCCTTATCTAACAGGAGAATGCAGCATTATAACGCGTAAGATGGTAGTGCAGAAACTGGTGATCTCGACGAAAAGTGTGGATTACATGCCATTTTTCCTCTCACTGGCTTCTTTTACCAACGGCGTTGCTTGGACTACTTACGCTTTCCTCCATTTTGATCCTTTCATTGCCGTAAGTTACATACTCAACACTTTTTTACCTTTTGATCACTTCATTTCAACTAAACGATGAATAGAAAAAGAAGAAAAAGAAAACAGATGTGGCGTCACTCTCAAGTAAGAAGTTAATTTGGCCTACGAAACCAACCACGTTGGTGGTATAAATCATATAATTAATGGAATGTTTTCATGCACTATTGGCAAATATGATTAAAGTGATTGATTTTCTCTGTTATATTTGTATAATTCAAATTAAGCAAAACAACAAAAACTGTGGACCGGGAGTTTTGTACCCTTTTGGTAGGTTAGTCTGTCACCTCTCTTTCCACGTGCATGCCTTTTATGGTTTGTATCATAGAAGGCAAGGAAGTAAGTACTTTTTCTATGGGTTTTGATTTTGCAATCAGGTTCCAAATGGACTGGGGACATTGTTTAGCTTAGCGCAGCTATTGTTGTACGCCGCATATTATGAGTCCACAAAGAGAATAATAGCTGCAAGGAAAGAAACGAAGATGGAGATGGATATGTCTGAGGTGGTCGTCAATGATCCCAAGAAGAACGCCAGAGCTTCATAAGCGACTTATCCATTTAACTATGTCTCTCTGTATATAAATATTAACGAGAGATTATGTTTGTTTTGATAATTGTCATCTACATGATACTAACTGCAGCAGCTTGTTACCAAGTAATTTGCCTTTTCAACCAATGTTTCCCCTTCTATGTATCGGGTTCTGAATTCAGATCAAAAGTTGATGATTTCCATTGGTGCAATTCATTGTTCATCATTCTGATATATGTGTTATCCAGTTGCATTAATGGAGGAGAGTGAAAAAGGAAAGGCTGAGGAAGTCTATTGGCAAATGGCAATTGTTATGTCAACTGTTTAATCAGTTCCATTATAGCAATCTTAAAGAGATCCGAACTCTAATTATATCTTCTCTATAAGCATCCTTAATGCTCACATTCTTCATTAGATACTTCGTGTCTATTTGTTCATAATCTTTCTAAACTATTGACAATATACATACACACTGCAGATGTATTTCCTCGACTTTAAAACTTAGATAAAAAAAATATTCCATCTTACCACTCAAACCACTAGATAAGTTTGAGATTGAAAATATTTGATATATTGCATATGATAAAAAAATAAACCAATGGGATGGATAACAAAAACCTGATAATAACCCAGTGAATAAGCACAAGCCCACCCAACCAAATACAGCGTAGGCGCGCACTGTCCCCTTCCTCATGATCCAAATCTCCTTATCTCTTTCCTTTTCTTCTCTCGGTTATCACTGAACCTCAGCATCGACAGAGCTCACATCAAAGAATAAGATGTAAACATTTACAACTCCCTAGCTTTTCAAAGGCTAAGCTAGAACGAATCCCCTTTTACAAAATATAAGATGTAAACAAGAAAACCCTCTCAAAAAGGTGTTTACAAAGATTTAAGCTCACAAGAAAACAATTAAAAGATTTGCAATGAGCTTAAAACAAAAATATGTACAAGAGAAAGGAAAGTAAGAATAAAAAAATATTTTCTTGTGTTTGATTGCTTGTATAGGTGTTGTGTTACCTTATTAAAGTGTCCTCAATTTATTTTTATATGTTGGAATGAGTTTGTGACCGTTTCTAGCCGTTGGAGATTAATTTTATGCAAAATAAAATTGTCCAGGACATGAAGTATCGGTACTCCTTTAATGAGTATCGATAATACCTTTGTAATATTTAGATAAACTAGCCGTTAAAGACCGTTGGGCTTGACCAATATCGATACTATGATTCATGGTATCGATACTACTATGTAAAGTAATATCGTTACCCTCTTGAGTATTGATACCTATTTTGCATTATGAAATTTGAGCAATTTGGAAAATAATTGGTAGCATCGATATTACCTAGAGAGTATTGATACTTCTCTTACCTTTGGTATCAGTACCACATGAACAATATCGATATTGTTCATGTAGTATCGATACTGTAAGAACAGTATCGGTACAACGTACTCAGAAAACAGTTTTGTGCTCAAATTATAGTTTAATGAACTTTGAATTATTTTTGAAAAATTTAAACAAATTCAATCAAGTCCAAAAACAATTTACCATAATTTATTATATCAAAACATTATAAAATATGGTTCAACAATTACTTCTTCAATTCATTTTTTTGTGGTTGAAAATGATTTGCATTTTTTAATGTTTTCTTTTTCCTATCTTGACCAGACAAAATCTTCATCCTCCTCACAATAATGACATAACAAATTATTTATTTATCAATTCATTTGGACAAAGAAAAAAATATAATATTTATTATTATTATTATTATATTTTTGTACATTTATAGTTTATACCCTCTTTGAATAAAAGAATTAAAGTCACTATTTTAGGACCGACACAAAATTAATTTTTTTATTTATATACAACTCTTTTAACACTTCACTATAATTATTTATTAAAAAAATATTTATAATATATTGTTTATATAAAATATTTTTTACTCATATTATAAGTATGGTATATAGGAAAAATAACTTCTCTTGGTGAATAGACTTTTTTATTTATAGTTTAACTTGCTTATATTTAATTATACCTATTAATTTTTCAACAATTATATTCATCAAAGGTCGAGTCTCTTCATCAAATGGTCTTAACCTTTCAATTCATTTTCTCTCCACTTTATAAAGGCTAGATGAGACAAAATTTATGCATCTTACTTTGCACTTCATTTTATTTTAGCCACCAATATTACTTGTGGTTTATTTATTTCCAGCATCTACTTTTTTTATTTATATTTTAAGCCTTCTTCATTTCGTTTTTTTTTTGTTTTTTTGTTTCATGCTTTAAATTCTTGTCATAAACTCGCAAAATGTTCATGTTAGTCCCTCATTTATACCATTAGAGAACAAAAATTGGATTTATATTTTAGTCATATTAAACATGTGTGTTCTCTCTAGAAAAATTAAACGCATATTATCTTGTACGGGAAATTTATGCAAACACACCTTAACTAACAAGGAATGTGTTTTCAAGAATTAACAACGCAAAATAACATTTTTTTCTACTCCATTGATTTCATTTCATTCACTCTTTTACATATATATTAAATATAATTAAAAAAAACATGCTAGGATCATAACTTAAATGTATATTCAAATTTGCCAATTTCAATATTCAGATGATGTATAATCGCTTAGATACCGATTTTGGGCGCTATGGGGGTGTTAATCCTTCCCCACGCGTAATCGAATCCTAAACCATTTTCAAAACGAGTTTATGGTTAAACACATATCACTTTTTATCTTTTAAAAATTATTTTTCTTAAAATTATTTTAAAAGATATATTTTTAGGTATTCAACCTACCTAACCCAAATGTCGATGGTGACTCTGAATATATTTATTTTTTCTTTATTTTAAAACCCAATATTTAAAAAAAATTAAGTTGGATCGTTCCCCGCTATAGCCCCAAAAAAGCTTAAGGAATGTTCCGACAGCTTGGCGACTCCGTTGGGGACATTAGAGAGTCAGACCGTAATCGATTATACGTCATCTTTGTAGTTGAGAATGGTAAATTTGAATGATATTTAAATTTTTATCCTTATATTTTGTTTGCATCACATCATGTCACACACCTTTTTTACTATTATTTGTATTAATGTGTGGTTTCCATTGTTTCAGATTCTAACATTTTTTTAGTTTGTTTGTTTTCAGATCGAGGCAAAGGATTGTGATTTTCCTCTCACACACACTAAAACCATGAACATTTAGAGCTTTCTAACTGTGCTCTATCACGTTAGGTAGGGGTGAACGCTACGCTTACGTGAGAAATATTATTTTTCTCCACATGGACTTTATCAAGTAGCCTCTAAGGTACATATGTCTTGTGTTTATGAGTGGAACATTGAGTTTCCTCTTATGGACATAGGGAAATGCATCATCTTGAATTGAACTTGACCCGTTTAAGCCTATAATGGGTGAGGATCAAGGGTCTGGCAGGCCCAATGAGGCACCAGCAAAGGATAATTCGAGGACCATTTTAGTAGTACTGAAACTCTACCCATTTTGTACTGAAATTTTGGTTGTGGTTCTTCAAAAATCACAAAGGGGAAACTCACTCTAACATTTCCTCAGATTTATTTATTTATTTTGTAAAAAGCATGAGAATTAGAAAGTATACGGTTAGGTTTTATATTTCTACACGAAGCCTGCGAAGTAGATATCATATGGTTAGGATTTTTTTTGTGAATAACAAAACATGTGGGTAGAAAGCATGTTTGGGTAGGATTCATCATACCATGTATAGGTAGTCAACCTGTGAGGGTAGATTGTATTAGATACTTACAATATTTACTATCTTATTGTTTATCTTATATGTACGGACCCATTTTGTTATGTGTTTATTTTATTTTGATTTTATTTTCTTGCATTTATATCTTCATGTCATCCAAAGGTGTTAATTCGTAAGTGATTGACTAAATAAGAATATTGTTCATAATGAGACAAGAAATTCTTAGTCATGTAGTCAAAATCAGGTGATCCCAAGATGTTCTATTAATCCATGAAGAAAGACATCTAATGAATGAAGAAATTTGAAGTTGATTGAAGACTTCCTTTGAAGGCGCAAAAGCCAAGATGTTTACCCAAAAGATAAATGTAGTCATACCAAGGACGAGAAGACCATTCACAAAGACATGAATACCAATTCGGATTGGAAGTAAAAATAGAGATCTCAAAATTCAACCATAAATAATTTAAAGATTTCAGGCGTCATCAAATGTGAAAAAGTACAATAATTGTTTACGCAATATTAGACTCTATGAAGAATATGGCTCAAGGAAATGAAGAAATGAAGAATCACAATTTTATTTTAACTACCTGGTGTAATGAAACCTTGTTGCTTGAATGAATGTTGTTCTATGGTGGTCACTTATGGAATTAACACCTGTTACATTTTAATTTGGCATCTACATTTGCATCTCATTTGTTTATTTAAGCATTTTTACATACATCAATCATGAAAACGTGAGAGTAACTTGTGAAGGATACTGTGACAGAAGTTCTGAAAGCAAATTGAAGTTACCCAGAGCGTATCTATAAAAAGATCGAAAGCGATGAATAAGATATTAACACGTGTTACTAAGATCGAGAGGATCCAGGAATAACTCGTAAGGATCCAACAAGAAATGATTGATGAAGCAAGGAAGTTCCAAGTTGAATTCAGATGTCAGATGTCCAAGTTGATAAGCATGATGGTTACAGTGATATATGGGGAGAAATCGTTAAAATACTCTATTATACAAGAAAAGATGAAGACTTCGAGTTAAAATCTGAATGTTGGTTGTGCAACCAATGTGATGACAACAGATGATCAAGAACCTGTTGGGGAGTATGGTAATCTAAGTCAACTTTAACAATCAGGTATGATTCCAGAAATTGTGATAGAGATTATGCTGGGAAAAGTGAAAATTGAGGTTGAAACTTCCAACACGAAGGTTGAGTCTCACCCAAAGAAGAGAGGCATAGAGGAAGTTCAAATGCCAATAAAGAAGGATAAAAATAATAAGAAGAAAAAGAATACGATACATCTCGT